GCCTTGTGGCAAGGAACCAATCAGAAGTTAGCTGGTGGCACTATGCTTTACGGCTATGGGTGTGCTTAACGGACAAGTGCACAGCAATGATGAGTAGAGCATAGCAACCACCCTGGGAGGGCCTAAGGTCCATAATAACCAATTGGCCAATCAACACAGGGCAAGCCCTCCAAGCCTGGAGGCACACCAATCCTGAGCCTGTGCGTACCCCTAGACACTCCCCTTACGCTGCCCTACAAGATCTCTATGAAGTCCCTTCAAGCTGTCTTTGCTAGCCATCTGCCATGGCGGGTGGGTGAAAGACCTGAGCTAACATGGGGTTAGCTCGTTAAACAACAATAAAGTCTCATGCAGTTTGCAGCAAGCTTTCGAATCCGCCTGGTGATTGGGGTGACCACGGTCCTGTGCTTAGACCCCAGAGGCCTGAGTTTTCAGCAGGTCTAACACTGCAACTCCCAATCATACCTTGATGGTGAAGAGCAAGGTTTTCACAAGGACTTCAACACCCCATTCAGCAGGAAGTAGTCTAATGAGAACATTGCCCCCTTTACCTATTCCTGACCAATTGTAAACCAGAAAGGGGAAAATGTAAGCCCCCCACAAGACACACCCAGTGGCAAGGCTCCACCCCTGAGGACCTCCAACCACTAAGCTTGGCCCACAGAACACTCTATAGCTGTAAAGGCTGGACCCAGTCCCTCCAGATGCAGGTGGCCAAGCTCAGGACTTCAAGTCCCATGAATCTCTGAGCTTGAAGTCCCACCAACCCTCCACCCTGGAAAATCTTCCCCTGGAAACCTTGCATAAAGTCTGCCTCCCACTCAGTTCTTTGCCACTTCTCTCCTGAGCAGAGGCAGGCACCCAACCTGTGTTTCTCCCAAGAAATCTCTTGTGTAAGTTTTGTTGTGTGGTGTGACTTTGTGGTAATTTCTTGACTCCCAACTTCCAGGATACCTTTCTCCTTGGAGCTGTAACACAGTAATGACCAATTGACTGCAATATATTGTAATATATCTAAAATAAAGCGTAGATAGTCGTGGCACTAAACCTTCAAAAAACACTCTCATATTAAGCCTCTAGCACATCTTTGTTCTTGGCATGGTGACATGAAGGTCCTAGAAGTGTGTGACATCTGTAAAAAAAAGTATAACGAGCTAATCACCTGACTTAGAATCCTGTAATTGTGGAGAGTTGAGATTTTATAAGTCTGGTGCCAAGTTGTATTGGACTAACTTTAGTCCCTTAAGAGCATTACCTACCTTCTGTGTTTTGCTTTACATTGACACAAACGTTAGCTTCCTGCTGGAAGGAAGGAAGGGCAGGGCAGTGAGCTAATGAGTTAGCTCTAAAACAATAAAGATGGCCATTATATTGGGATTGATCAAGAAAATATGGAAATAAAAGAATCAAACTGACCTTCAACTGAAGTAGATGATCTTTGATCAGAACAAGGGTCTCACCATGGAAATAGGGACTCTGTGCCTGTGCCCCAGGAGGCTTGGGAGCTTTGTGAGCAGGGACAATTCTTGGGGTAGAAGATTCTATCTATGTGCTATATCCTGCAGCCTCAAAGCTGTGATTACCAATGGAGGTTGGTGTGTGTGGCCATATCAGGAACAGTGGATGTTCTTCCAAAGGGAAGATTCCTTAGTTTGTGATGCCACACTATCTTACCAAGAGTTTGCTGGATCCTAGCAGCCTGCAGATGTTATCTGTAACAACACTCTTGTCCTGAGTACCTTAATCTACCTTTCAGTTTTTGGATCATTAGCACTTTAATGCTAACATCATTTGACTACTCCCCTGATGACCTCTCAGGTTGAGCTGGCAGGGTGGGGAAAGGGGTAGGAGTTGGAGGGATAGACATGCATAGGTTAAATGAACTCCTTACCAGTTCAGCCTGCAGTGCACTCAGAATGACCAGTCTCAGTAAAGATTACTTCAGTCCCCATCCAGCTCCTGCCATAAGTCTCTTCAGGCCACAGGGTAGGGCAGGATACTCCCTCCTAGAAGCTTGCCTAGCACAACCACCGCTCTCGATCTTTTACATAAATCTATGTTCCCCTTACCAAATCTGTGTTCCCTCTGCTCCCTCCTTGGCTGCATTTACTTACTCCTCTTGGGTGTGAGACAATGAACTTAGAAGCCACTGACCCAGGGTAACTTTGGTGACTGCTGATTGTTGGGTACCCTAGCACTCTGGACTAAATCTCACCAAGAGCTGAGGAAGGCTCTGTCACACTCAAAGAGCTGACACTAGCATCTTTGTGACTACTGGGTAAATCATTTTGGAATGTACTAAC